TAAGGATTGGAGTGAATCACCTCATCAGAAGTATATACCCAACGGCATACTCCAACCCAGGATGCCCAGCTACATGACGTCAGGAGGAGAGTTGTTTTCTTTCAATAAAATTGAGTGGAACTTAATCAGAAATCAAGGAGTCTGGAGTATAAGGGGGTGTTATGTTCTCAAGATCAGAGATACAAGACTAGTTTATGTCCATTGTAATAATGCTCTAGCAAGGGAAGATGACATACTTCAACATGCTGAGGTGAGAGGACCGAGCGTTAGATGTGTCCTCCAAGATCAGCATGGTATTATAGGTTATGATGGAGTTCTGAAACACGTTGCTAGAACTTATGCTGCTGTACAAGACCCAGAGTAGATTAAGATGAAACCCAGAGCCGACCCAATCCAGATAGGGGATCTAAACCCTATGTTGATGATGTTGATGATNAATGAATTATGTAATCATGCTAGTAATATCTTATTTATCTATGTTCGTTTATCTATCTTATCATGTTTCATGTTGACCCTGACTGGCCATTACATTCAGTTTAATTTCACCTGTATATAAAATAAATCAGTTCAATACAATTTGTCAATTAACACGGACGAATACAGAGCCTTGAGTTTTGGCTAAAGATAGAGAGCCTTGAGTTTTGGCTAGAGATAGAGTCAGTGAGAGTCTAATTAGACTTTGAGGATAGTTATCGTTGAAGTATCTCGGATCTAGATTTCTTACATACATGTAGTATATTATTTATATATTTAAGTCAACACTATATTCCAAATTTTCATGCAAAGAATATGATTTGATTAAAGTTTACAATAAACTAGTCGTCATTTAAGCTTAATTATAATTGACAACATTGTTCCGCAATTTCCTTTTCTGTAGTCATGTTGTGTGTCTGTACCAAAAGAATGTGTGTAAGGTTTACCGAACCTGCTCTGCAAAGCAGTGCGACTGGCTTTCTCATGTCAGACCAGCGCCATTTCCTTTCCCTTTATTCCTATTCCCTGGATACAAATCCAAAACATTTTTGGAAAGTCCTTGGGCTCTACTTTAATAATTTTCAAAAAAATTAGCAAATTTGCAAATGTTTAATGCAAAATTAGATAATCTAGCAAAATAATGTGCAAAAACAAAAAGTGCGTGAAAATACATTCAAATATGCAAAAACTTTTGCAAAACTTTAAAAAACTGAATGTGTATTATAGGAAACCTGACAATGTGCAACAACGTCTGTGCAAAATTGCTTTGCAAAAATTTTGCAATCTACTTTTGTTTTGTTGCAGGCTTTCATAAAAGCTATTAAATGTTAAAATCCATTGACCAAAGACTAATGCTTTTTGTGTTGTGTCATTAAAACGTTAGACCCTACCCCTGCTGGAATAGGGTTAAATGTTATTTGAAAAATCAGACAAAATGCATGTCGTAGACTTTTCTTTAAAAATAGAAAAACATAATTTATTTAAAGTAACCTTCCAATTTAACATTGATTAGAGTAAAGCGTGTCCATTGATCATATATTCATATATCCAATTCATAATGGTACCCTTCAAATAATATCCTTAAAACTTAACTAATCAAGAATAATTTCGATATCCGCGTTTTATTCCATTAAAAAAATTATTATTTTTACTTTTTGTTGCTCTAGAAATACTATGTGCGGATTTGCAGCAGAAACGATGAAGGAAATTTTCAGAATTAAATATTATTATGAAACAACGATATCTTCCATGTTGTAAATTGGACTTGTCCCAAGCTATAGTTTCAGTAGAAGTAAATATTTCCATTTAGTAAAAGCGCCAAATGTAGGATTCATAACTCTTATTGGATAATGAGATAGATAGAAAGATAGATGATACCGCAATACTATTTCTATTGGTTCAGAATAGACAAGAAACACATGACTGAACCCTGATTGGATTAGGCGCTATAAGACTTGGCATACAAGAGTGGCCCTAATACTTTAAAGATTGCGGTCACCTCACTTAAATCCTTAAAAAGCTCAATTTCTGAGATGATAAAATAGAACTACAATTTTTTGTAGAAAATATAAAAGAAAAATAGATAACTTTTGTTTTGTTTCTTTATAAACCCATTAAAAACTTTTGTAAGTAATCTAAGTTATATTGCAGCGGTGACAAAGTAAATGTTGAATGATTAAAGTATTTATTCTTTCTTTCTTTGTTTGAATATTATCACTGAAGATTTAGTATAATTCAAAAAGGATTGGTTTTCAGAAATAAATTATAAATATTTATAACAATTACAATTACTACTCTAAGATGACAATAAATCTATAGTGTTGTGGTTGCCCCTGCATATTTTAAAAAATCGCAAACAACGAAATAATTATAAGAATTTACAACCATCAATTATAAAAATAGAAAAGTCTCAGCTCAATTAGATCTGTACTCCGGAGGAGCATTCAAATTAAGAACTATGATTTCATATTTAAAAAAAAAAGTTGTAAATCTTAATTAAATTTCGAAAGTTTTTTCTACAGAAATTATTCAAAATCTATGCAAAGTTTTTTCTTTCAATTTCCAATAATTTCATAATTTTAGAATTTAAAAAAATGAAAGTACTCGATAAAGGCATTCCAGGCTCACCCCCCCCCCNATAGAGTCCAGAATTGAGTTTCCCGAACCCAATGTTTATGACTTTGTTAACACCCCACATAGACCTAACACAATGTTTTTTTTTTAAATGTCCAAAAAATGCGGGAAAAATCAGGGTAAAAATTATTTTTCCCTAACTCTGATTTTTGATTTAAAAACTTAGACTAGATCACAATTCAGCTTTGGATGCAAAAAATCAGAGAGATATCTCTAAAAGAAAAAAGTCAGCGAGTCCCCCCACCCTTTGTATGATTATGTGGACATTCTCCTTTAAAATTTTAGCCTCCAACACAATTAGATTTTGAAAATTCACGAAAATTTACAATGTACACAATGAGAAAATGTTTCCAATGGAAATATGGAAATATGGAAAGCCAAGTTTCCTTAAATTGATTTGAGAAATAAATCAAAGAATTCTAGATTTCCTATTAAAAAAACATTAAAAAATCTAAACCCATATCATAAGGTCAATTTTTGTATTTATTTAGTATCGCTTGATTTTTAGTAAAAAAGAAGAGTTTAATTCAAACATATCTTTTAATATGTTAATAATTGCAATTAGTTTTTTTTCCCTATGGCCTGCTACCTAGTCCCTGCCAAAGTGAATACATAATATTTATTAAGAGAGAGAGAGATCAGCGGAGTTTCGTATCATTCTCTTTTATTTCTCTCTTCTTCAGAGTTCATATAACCAAAGTCGGGAAAAGTATAGTTACAGTTACACAGGGACTACTAGACTCTAGACACTTGATCGCTAGACATTGGACACTAGACACTAAGCACTATACAGTAGACCCCTATATACACTAGACACTAGACAATAGACACTAGACACTAGCCAATAGACACTAGACACTAGCCACCTATAGACACAAAAAAAACTAGACACTAGCCACCTATAGACACAAAAAACTAGACACTAGCCAGTTGACACCAATTTTCAACAGACACAAGAATTAAGCACGGTAGACGCAATACAACACAGGACACCAATCATTAAATATTAGTTATTCTAAAGATTTATTAGCTTTACATGTTTCATATCGTTAAAATTACCAAATTTCCATCATTTTACAGTCAAAAAAAATATAAAAAAGAAACGTATCCATAAGTAAAGCTTTATCTATATCTATATGTACATAAATGAATTGTAATAATAAAAAATAATGAAAAAAAATAAATCTCTGTTTGTCTGGTTGTTTTTCCGATCATAACTCGTGAATCCCTGGTCCGATTTGCCTCAAATTTTGATTGGGGAACTTGGGAGACCCACGAAAATGTTTTCAGCTTGGTTTTGTGAGTCTAAGTTGAGTGGGCCGACTTTAATAGCGTAAATTTAGTTTCCCGTTGAAATCGTTCAAGTGCTGGTAAACTTCTGGAGTGGCTTTTATTATCCTGAACCCAGCGCTGGGTTCCCAAGCTAGTAAAGCTATAAATCTGCAAAACTTGAAAAAATGTTATGCACAATTATCATATCAAATTTAGTCACGTTTAAGTTTGCGTTGAAATACGTGTGTATAATATTTAAGCTTCAAGTCTATTACTAGTTCTTTTATGTTTCACGCCAGAACTAGTTCTTTTTAGATCCTGGAGTACTTTTAGTACTCAGACATATATGCATGGTGTGTAAACACTATGTAGAATTATTTATTAGTTTTCGTTAACCAACATTAATGATAATGTTCAGCTAACAGAAACAATTGGATTTTGCCTACCTTACATTTTACCTGAGGTACCGTTAAATCTTTGGTTGAACGAAAATAAGGAAAACAATGTCATTTTTCCATTTTCAAAAGTGATTAATTTTGTAAATAATGTTCTTTGTCTCAATTGCATAAAATTCGCAAATTTGAAGTTAGAAAAACGGGGCAATTTTCATCATTTTTCCTCAATATTTGCGATTTATTTTCCTGAATGTCAACTTTATTTTAACACATACTTAACTTTTTTCTCCACTTGTCTACTTGTCTACTTGTCCACTTGTCTACTTTTTTACTTGTCCACTTGTTTACTTGTCTACTTTTCTAATTTTCTACTTTTCTACCTGTCTACTTGTCTACTTGTCTTCTTGTCTACTTGTCTACTTGTCTACTTTTCTACTTGTCTAATGGTCATCTTGGCTACTTTTCTACTTGTCCACTTGTCTACTATTTCACTTGTCTACTTGTCTACTTGTCTACGTGTCTACGTGTCTACGTGTCTACTTGTCTACCTGTCTACTTGTCTACCTGTCTACTTGTATACGTGTCTACTTGTCTACCTGTCTACTTGTCCACTAGCTACTTGTCTACCTGTCTACTTGTCTACTAGCTACTTGAATTTTCAAAAATAGATTTGTAATTAATATTTTGTAATTAATTTGAATATTGCGTTTGTTAATATAATTTAAAGAAAGCTAAAAATGTCTTCAAGCCATGAAGTAAACCACACTATTGATATCTATACTGTGTACCCAGACCTTCCAGATTGGGTGAGAAATATTATTAGAATACTTTAAAGGGAGTGACCGGCTAAACACGGTAGTTAAGCTGAGAGTGCAGTAAATTTAGTATTCATTCGATGTTAAAAGGACGTTAGCACGCGGTGTATAATTGATGAGTAACAGCGTATAAAATCGATCTTTAGAATCCTCCCAGATTGTCCATTCAATAAACGAGCTAAATGTAACAATTTGTTTACCTTAATTTGAGGGAGGGGGGGTAGTTGATAGAGAGGACATTTCTGAACGTTATGATTTTATTTTATGAAAACTTTATCTTGAAAACAGCTATAGAGAAAAAGATTGAATGTAAAAGCATATTTTAAGGTTTGCAGTGAAATAGCTTCACTATGTCGTCGTATCTTTAAAATTTCTCTGTCTAGGTGTTTGATGTGTTTGCTACGTATCTCTTTATCCTAGGGACAATTACTCTACCGTTAAACGGATTTTTTCTCTATCTCTTCTACAAAACACCAAAGGTTAGGGTCGTCAACAAGATTTAGTGCCAAGCAGAAAAGTCAAAGTAAGGTCAAGTTCAAGATCAAGGTTTATATTAAGGTCAAGTTTAAGATCAAGGTTTATGTAAGGTCAAGTTTAAGATCAAGGTTTATGTCAAAGTCAAGTTCAAGATCAAGGTTTATGTCAAGGTCAAGTTCAAGATCAAGGTTTATGTCAAAATCAAGTTCAAGATCAAGGTTTATGTCAAGGTCAAGTTCTAGATCAAAGTTTATGTCTAGGTCAATGTCAAGATCAAGGTCAAGTTCAAGATCAAGATCAAGTAAAAAAAATCAAGATCAAGATTTAGATCAAGATCAAGTAAACCATCAAGGTTAAGGTCAAGATCAAGGTCAAAATTCACTTTCAAGGTAGAAGTCAAGGTTAATCTAGAAAGAAAATGGCATGCATTCAAAGATCATTTCATTTCTTTTTTAATCTTCTTTTTTCAATTTGTTTTTACTTTTAAATAAGAAATGAACCGAAAAATCTACATTAAAACATGTCTATTATTTTCAAACAAATATAATGTTAACTTATTCATATTGAAGTTGAGAACAGACTTCAATTTACTCCTGTTCAACCTGGTAGTTGCTGAAACTGGAATAGGAATATTCGGAATTATTACAGATTTTGTTGCCACTGCAAGGTACATAAAACATGTAAAGATGGGCATCTGTAGCTACTGCAAGGTACATATAACATGTATAGATAGGCATCTGTAGCCACTGCAAGGTACATATAACATGTAGAGATAGGCATCTGTAGCCACTGCAAGGTACATATAACATGTAGAGATAGGCATCTGTAGCCACTGCAAGGTACATACAGTTAGAGATGGACATCTGTAGCCACTGCAAGGTACATATAACATGTAGAGATGGACATTTGTATACACTGCAAGGTACATACAGGTAGAGATGGACATTTGTATACACTGCAAGGTACATACAGGTAGAGATGGACATCTGCAGCCACTGCAAAGTACATATAACAGGTAGATATGGGCATCTGTAGCCACTGCAAGGTACATACAGTTAGAAATGGGCATCTGTAGTCACTGAAAGATACATATAACAGGTAGATATGGGCATCTGTAGCCACTGCAAGGTACATACAGTTAGAGATGGGCATCTGTAGCCACTGCAAGGTACGTTCAGGTAGAGATGGGCATCTGTAGCCACTGCAAGGTACACACAGGTAGAGATGGGAATCTGTTGCCACTGCAAGGTACATACAGTTAGAATTGGGCATTTGTAGCCACTGCAAGGTAGATAAAGGTAAAGATGGGCATCAATAGCCACTGCAAAGTACATACAGGTAGAGATGGGCATCTGTAGCCACTGCAAGGTACATAAAGGTAGAGATGGGCATCTGTAGCCACTGCAAGGTACATATAACATGTAGAGATGGGCATATGTAACCACTGCAAGGAACATACAGGTATAGATGGGCATCTGTAGTTACTGCAAGGTACATACAGGTAGAGATGGGCATCTGCAGTTACTGCAAGGTACATAAAGGTAGAGATGGGCATCTGTAGCCACTGCAGGGTACATACAGGTGGAGGTGTATCTATAAAAACGCTACCCTATAAAAACGCTACACTTAAAAAACGCTACTCTATAAAAACGATACCCTATAAAAACGCTACACTATAAAAACGCTACCAAGGCTAAATTCCCTACTATTCTAAAATAAAAACTATTGAGATTATGATTAAAGATATAAGACACTAAATTCTTAAATGTATTAAATGAAATGGAAGATATTGTTTACAAATATTTGTTATTATATAATTAAATAACATTTGAATCATTAAAAAATCTTTTGCAGTACATTACATATATATAATACATATATTGTTTTAATTTAGTCACCACCTTAAAATTTTCATAACCATGTACATGGTAACAAGTTAAAGGTATTGTTTAATATCGTACTATTCCCCTTCCCCCCTCCCCTCCGTACAGGTTGGCGGTCACCCCACAATATACACATTTTATTTATACACATTGTTTACTTCAGTAATTATTCAGCATTCAGTAATTATTAAGAGCTTTGATTCTGTTAGTATATTTGACATATATTGTAAACACTTCACCATGTCTTCCTGAACATGAGTTCTCTAAAACTGTGCAAAATGGAACTAAAACCATTATTATCGATGGGGTTAAGACAAAAACTACTGTTAAAAAGTGTTTGTTAAACTGAAAGAGGGAAGCTATGCTTATAGAAAGAAAGATCCAGTTACACCTTATAACTGTCATAAATCTCGTAGTCCTTAACCTTCTAGAACAACTTGAAAAAGAGAGAATAATCTGGATAAATGAACCCATCGAAGAATGCGTGTGAGTTTGGTGAATTCGGAGACGAGTACTGTCTACAAATTTTTCAAACTTAGTTGGATGAGATATTCTGAAGAAATATATATACTGGAAGTTGTTTATGCGTTTTTATTAGAGTCTGACTCACGTCCTCTATAACGATAACATTTTTTTTTATTTGAGATTGCTGATAAAAACTCATTTAAGGATTTTCTAGGCATGGTTGGGATATGGGCAAGGATTTTTGTATTTTTACTGGTTTTGCTCTCACCCTTTTCGGTAAGATAACAATTTTCAAATATGTTTTATGTTTCTCAAGAAATTGTAAATATATTTAGTGGTAAGTGACTTGCGGTGCACTTTTTTCAATGTAACTATGCCTGATAGAGGATTTGAGTCTTTGACACACACTCTAACTTTCGAATCCCGATATCTCTGAAACCTGATGGTGTAAACCTTTAATACTAAAAACTTAGACTGTATTGTCTAACAGAATTCATAGTCTAAAATATTTAAGGTCAGAAGACATTGGAATAAAAAAATAAACGGATTCGAAAATCTGATTTTTTTTTGCAAAGTCTGAATCAAATAATTTCGCGATTTCATTTCATTTCTATTGCAAACAAATATTTGATAAATAGGTTACTTGATTTTATATTTTTAACAAATCCATTTTACGAAATAACTTATAAAAGTTTTTCTTCTAACAATGTCAGGCTAGAATCGTGATTGAAGGCAAAGACATTGGATTTAAGATTTGAGATGTTTTAAACCGTTACAAACTTGTTTTGAATGTAATGTTTAAATATCGTTAATTATGCAAAATGAAAAAATATTTATATTTATATTTATAGGAATGGCGAGCGTCAATAATCTTTTGAATATCGCTCTGTTTCGCTGGGCTGTGTATATTTTTGAGGTGAAATTTTTTGATTTAATGTTTTCCTTAGTTGAACTCTGTTACTCGGCTCAAAGAGTTCTTTTGTGATAATTTTAGCTTTTGTAGCCTAACTTTCTACAAACTTTTTAAACATTTTAAACAATTTATAAAAAAAACAGTTTCCGGTTCACATTAGCGCATTTAATTTGGTATATTTTTTTTAATCCAAATATTTTAACAAGGCAATTATTATCGGAAGCAAACAAAAAAAAAACTATATACGTAATTTGTAGATTGTGAATATCTACGCTTAATTCTATGCGTATTCAGTTAAAATTATTCTTTTTTTTAAACACCAATTCCATAATGTTTTGCAGTTTGAAAAAGAAAATTTAACTAATAGAGCAAACTTTTCTTTGAAAAATCAGAGAAAGAATTAGTTGGGGGCTAAATTCCCCCCCAGAACACCCTAGAACAAAAATGTTTACATAAGGCGAGACATATCAGCGCTTCCCAGCTGGCGAGAGGTTTGGTTTGGTTAAACTGGTGTTGGAGTCTCATGTTTGCCGTTCCTCCTCTGGTTGGCTGGGGGCAATATTTACCTGAAGTAAACGGGATGAGGTAAAAAATTTCTTTTGCCAATTTTTACTCAAGTTTTCTAACTTCTGTATCATTGCAACCTGGTGGCGTAAACCCTTGATATTTCAAACTTAAATTATTTGAGCTTTTTTAATTCATAGTTTAGAAGATCATGGGTCTGGAGCATTGGATTGCAAAGATAAAGGGATTAGAAAATCAGAAATTGTGGCAATAATCAGTTCCTTCGCTTTGGTTTAGCTAATGGCCCTTTCCACCAATTTTTTAGATTGATCAAATATGATATTATGATGAAAAATTTTTAGCGAGCGATATGTTTCATAACTTTTGATTTGAGGAAAATGTCAAAAGGCAAGAATCAATATCCCAATTTTTTTGCTTTAAAAATATAAAAAAATACTGTGTCAATTTCTCATTAGGGTTTCATAATCTTAATATTTTTCGCAAAATATTTTGGCAAACTATTTTCAGTAAACTTGAACCGAATTTCACGAACTGTTTGATTAAAGTCGATTAAACTGCTTAATTTGCCAAATAAAATATTAGCGTTGCAGACAAACTCAAATAAAATTTAAATATGAAACTGCTTTCAGAAGAATATTTCACTCAATATCGTATCAAACATGATATTCATTTATAATTCTAAGTCTAACTAAACACCCGGTATTCACTGAACAGTATTCATCTGCATATCAGATTGAATTTTTATGTTTTTTACTATATGTAGATATTACTGTGTTACACGGTTTCCCACAAAGAATGAGAGCACGGGCAGCTGCAATAGGTTTGAATTTCTGAGCCGGGTCAACTTTCCTGTCCCAGTTTGTACTATGGTTGACGCGGTCAGAATTTATACTTCTTATAGGTTGAATTTACTTTTACTAAAGAGGCAGAGGTGCATGAAAGGACAGTCAGAATTTGTTAAGTCTTTTCTTATTATTCGAATGTTCCCTACGGCTGTAAACTGATTTTTCTTTGAATCATTCACAAACTATATTCAGGGCAGGAAACCAACTTCAACCCTCAGTTCGTCATAGTTAAAAGAGTTTTATCTGTTGCCATTAAAGTCTCATTCTTTGTGAGTAGGGGATTATTATCTATTTTCTATTTTTATCTATTTCTATTATCATCTATTTCTATTATTATTTATTGCTATTATTTTCTATTTTCAATTATAATCTTTTTTCTATTACTATCTTTTTTCTATTATTATCTTTTATTTATTAACATTCTATTATTTACTATTTCTATTATTAGCTATTTTCTCTATTATTATCTTTTTTCTATTATAATCTATTTTCTATTATAATTTTTTTTCTATTATAATCTATTTTCTATTATTATTTTTTTTTCTATTATTATCTTTTCTCTATTATCATCCATTATTTATTAATATTTATTTTTTCTGAAAGTGAGCTTTAATGAAGATGCGCGACCCATTATGTAGGCGTTTTGACCCATCTATCCGTGGGGGGGGGGGGCGGGGGGGGCATCGCCAGACACTCCGTCAGAAATCCGATATTCTTCTTGATGTGAAAAGAATTTCGTGAAAATGAGGTAAAAAATTACGTCAAACATAGATCAACATTCGCAAAAATTTGACGAATTTTATTAGTTACTTTCTCAAAAAATTCGCACATTTCGTTCAACGGCATTTTTTATGGAAACCCTTTTTTTAATTAGACAGACAACTCTCAAATATTCCGATTAAAATTCTGGAAAGAAAAGATTATTAGTTCGAACAGCCTAAAAATTGAAGAAAAAAATAATCTTTGAGTCTTTTTCATTTTTTAAACCAAAAATTACCAAATGTTTTTTGTAAGTTGTTTCCATGAGTTGGTTAAATATAAATCGGAAATTATATCGGTTTCCGATTCACTATCACAAAACCTTGAGACAGTTCTTCCATGATCAATTCACAATTGATGCAACTTTACAGATTTTATTATTTGTAAATATACTCTGCTTGTCTGGGTGTTTGTTCGTATCCAACAAACTTCAAAACGGCTGAACCGATCGGGTCCAAATTTTTTGAGGGACCCCCCAGACCCCAGGGAAGGTTTATGGATCAAAAATTTGCCTCTAACAAAATTCGATTTTTGAAAAATTTGAAAAACCCGCGCAATTTTGTTTTACAGTGTTTGCAAACTAGTGAAGGTTTAAAAACAACAGAATAAAGTATGCAAAATGTTTATTATAAGAGAACATTTCAGGGGAAACGAACCAAAAAACTATTGTTTACAAACGATTGTTTTTTGTTCGTCTTGTTGACACTCAGGGGGGGTGTTGTAGGCTAAAAAATTGACATTTTAAAAAAAATTTTCAAATTTTATTCTTCACGGGCAACGCCTGGCCCTTAGTTTATTATTACAGATATCTTTTCTCAAGGATAAAATTTTACAAAGTGTTATAAAGCAGATGTTTAGAATAAAAAATTTGAAATTCTTAACATTTTTAAAATTAGTTGACCTCTTTCAAATTAGTTGACCTCTTTCAAATTAGTTGACCTCTTTCAAATTAGTTGACCTCTTTCAAATTAGTTGACCTCTTTTCAAATTAGTTGACCTCTTTCAAATTAGTTGACCTCTTTTCAAATTAGTTGACCTCTTTTCAAATTAGTTGACCTCTTTCAAAATTCCAAAAATCTAAAAAGCTTTAAAAATCGAGCAAGCTATTGCTCTTTGCTTAATGCTTATAGATGTCGACCTTATTTCAATTCGATTTTTATCTAAAGAGTAGTGCACTCGACTCACTACAATTGCTCCAGCTTGAAGAGCAGTTCCTTTAGTAATTATAATTGTTCAGTTGTGCTCCAGCTTGAAGAGCAATCCCTTTAGTAAATATAATTGTTCAGTTGTGCTCCAGCTTGGAGAGCAGTTCCTTTAGTAAATATAATTGTTCAGTTGTGCTCCAGCTTGGAGAGCAGTCCCTTTAGTAAATATAATTGTTCAGTTGTGCTCCAGCTTGAAGAGCAGTCCCTTTAGTAAATATAATTGTTCAGTTGTGCTCCAGCTTGGAGAGCAGTCCCTTTAGTAAATATAATTGTTCAGTTGTGCCCCAGCTTGAAGAGCAGTCCCTTTAGTAATTATAATTGTTCAGTTGTGCTCCAGCTTGGAGAGCAGTCCCTTTAGTAAATATAATTGTTCAGTTGTGCTCCAGCTTGGAGAGCAGTCCCTTTAGTAATCATAATTGTTCAGTTGTGCTTCAGCTTGAAGAGCAGTCCCTTTAGTAAATATAATTGTTCAGTTGTGCTCCAGCTTGGAGAGCAGTCCCTTTAGTAAATATAATTGTTCAGTTGTGCTCCAGCTTGAAGAGCAGTCCCTTTAGTAAATATAATTGTTCAGTTGTGCTCCAGCTTGAAGAGCAGTCCCTTTAGTAAATATAATTGTTCAGTTGTGCTCCAGCTTGGAGAGCATCTGAAGGAACCCTGGACTATTTCAACATCATCTCCTACAACATCTTCTTGATCGGTCTTGGGTTCTTCATTCCAGTCATCATCATCTTCTCCACCTCACTCAACTTGTACATGAAGCTTAATAAGGTATTTATTGTACATTTGTCAATAATATTTGGGAAAATGAACTCTTAAAAACTCTTAATAAAAAACCTAATCTTGAAGATAATCTACAGCCATTGTATACGAAAATTGAAATCAGAACTGCAAAAGATTTGGTTTACAACATGAAAAAAGATTTTAGAAAGCAATTTATTTTCTGGTGGTCTTACAATATTATAAGATACTTATATTTGTTCAAGTGCACAACATTATTAAATCTGTTGACTGGAAAATTATTTTTGTAAAAGGTAAACACGAATAAAGTTTTATTAAATGTTATGATTATTTTTACTTCCATGGAATCGTGGACGATTATTGGGAGATAGATGTTATTGTGCTCCTTTTCCCAAAACTGGAAGTAAACTCAAATTACGCCAAACTGGTGAAAATGTCAAGCTAGATTAATCATAGATCATATCTCAATAGAGTTATTGAAATGAAGAAAAAGTTTTGAATTTCTTAATTAATGTGCAACCAATAAAAGGAATTGAGTTTTAGTCACCAACTCTGATCCTGATATCTTTGGAACATGATGTTGTAATAATTTTGTGTTAAAGGGACAGACTGGTTATGCAAGGTTGTTGACTTTAAAAGTCACTATGATAAAACAAAGATATCTAAAATGGATATTTATAACATTTATTTAGAAAAGAAAGTTTTGAAATATTTGCATAAGACAGAGTTAAAATTGGTTGGTTTAGAAATTAACAAAGAAAATTATTTACAAACAGCAGTAGTAATATCATGGGAGTTTTATTAGGGTTTCCACCGGAATTCCGGGTTACGGTTTACGTACGGAAATGATCCTGAAATTTTTTCCATTTCCATTATGGAAAAGGTTCCGGAAAACCGGAAAACCGGAATTCCGGAACGATTTCCGGAACGATTTTTTTCCGTAAAACGGAAATTTCCGGAACGTTCTTCCGGAATTACGGATCGTTACGGAATTTTGGAACGTTCCGGAATATCGTTATGGAAACTTTCCGGAAAATCGTTCCGGAAATTTCCGGTTTCCGGAACATTTGGGACCAGAATTACATTAAAGTCTTACATATGTAAATACAACACCAGTTAGTAACACTAACAATATATGGATGGATGCCGGAAGGTAGAAAAAGTTATACTCAATCAATATTCAAAGTTACTATAGTGTGAAATGTAACTGATAAACCGAGGGGGGGGACTCTACCACTAGCAGGGCAGTAGCTAGCGGGGGGGGAGGGGCAATGATCCTCGATTTTTTTCTTCAAATTTTCAAACTTTGTAAATATTAATTTAATTAAAATGAGAAAAATTCTTTAAGTTCCGGTACGTTTACGAAATGGAAATTTTCCAGTTTACGTTACATAAGCCATAAAAATTTCCGGTTTATGGAATGGAAACCGGAAATTTTTCCGGTTTACGAAATGTAAACTGGAATTTTTACGGTTTCCATTCCGTAAAACGGAAATTTTTCCAGTTTTTGTGACGTAAACCGGAAATTTTCCGGTTTACGTTACGTAAACCATAAAAATTTCCGGTTTACGGAATGGAAACCGGAAATTTTTCCGGTTTACGAAATGGAAACTGGAAATTTAAAGTGACATGTGGGCGGACCAGCGGAAATAGATTCACACGTCTTGAAAATAGTCAACGGCATCTGAGTCGGTAAAATCGTCTTCCTTATATTTCAAATTTGTGTTAACAAAAGTAGTTAAAGTAAGTATGCAGTGTTGTGGACAAATTCTTTAGGATTAATTTGAAACATACAAAACTTTTTAAAGATCTATAAATCCTGAGTTTGAGTGCAAGGTCTGTCCCTTTAAACCAAATAAGTTGATTTTGAAATTAATAAGGTTTACACTTAAGTAATTAAGTAAATTAAACTCTGATTTTCAAATTCCAATATCTTTGCAACCCTATGTCATAGATCTTTGATTTTTCAAACTATGAATTCTATGAGATCAAAAAATATCAAAGCTTTCCATAATCAGATTTAAAATATGTTAGGATTAGAAAATTTGAGTTTGTGCCAAAAAAACGTTTCCTTTGTGTGGTAAAAATTCATTTACAAATTTTCTCAAGCCTAAAAGAGGTACTAGGATGTGGTACTAGGATGTGGTACTAGGATGTGGTACTAGGATGTGGTACTAGGATGTGGTACTAGGATGTGGTACTAGGATGTGGTACTAGGAAGTGGTACTTGGATGTGGTACTAGGATGTGGTACTAGGATGTGGTAATAGGATGTGGTACTAGGATGTGGTACTAGGATGTGGTATTTTCGCCTAAAGTGTACACTTTCTAGGTCGAAGTTGACACATTTAATATATTGTTTATACGTACTATAAAGCTGAAAATTGTACAACTCCTTGTACATCATGAACTCGTCATACAAAAACGTTAATGAATACGTTTTACTTCTTTTGGTCAATCTGTAGAAAACAAGTTTTTTTAATTTGTGTGTATTACTGATCCTCTATACAAAACAAAACACCCCATACGTTTGTACTGAGTATGAACAATACTTGCCGAAATTATTTCTATTTAATGTACTGTATGTACTGTATGTACTGAATGTATCTAGTACAGAACCTTGATTTATATTTTCAATTTCAGTTGAAGCACTCCGGTATGGTAAAGACGACATGAGCTATCTAATCAAATTCTACTAGGGTTGAAGTGGTGAACAGTGAACAGTCTCTTTCAGACGGATTATCTGAGATTACAAACTTTTAAAATCTTTCTTTATAGAATTCACATTTTTTGTCCTTCATAATTGCATAGAATTTATATGATAATTGTCTAGGATGTGAGAAGCATTGTTTGTGACTCTGTAAGAGCGGCTGCATGCAAGGAATCATTTTTAGAAACATTATATCTCAATTTTGATTATCAGTTTTCAAACAAGATTATTTAAACATGTTCACGAACAGCTTGCATAGTACATTTTCATACTCATTTTATTCCAGAATATGAGAAGATTAATATAAGCTTAAATTCGTGTATTTCTTTATTTATTTCTAAATAATTGTTAATGGAAAATGATGTAGAGAGAGAGAAAAGCCCTCTACATGGTAAATATTCAAATTTTATCATGATAAACATGAGAACTAAAAGACGACTTGAAACAATCTTCACTTTCTAATACTTGATAAATTCCGAAATGTGTACTTTTATGGGCTTTCCAAAATGTGATATGCCTCATTTGTATCAATAAAAGTGACGGAGATATCAAACATTTGAACTATTTTTTTATTTTATAAAAATAATGGTAAAATGGTAGACCACATTTTGGAGTTCCCAAGTTTTAGATGTTAATTGTTTAAACACTAGTAAAGACGATATAGAAGTCATACCTTATTTTTATTAAATTTGTAGGAAATACCCTACTCCATAAACTGCTCTCAAACCTGTATCTATCCAGGTACTGCAGTTCCACTTAGCAATTAATGTATAAACCCGGTTACAATCTTGTAACCTATCAATGCCAAACCACTGGGCACGATCTCAGCAGTTATCGATGCCAACAAGGACACTAGCTCGTATTCTATAAACGCCAAACCAATGGGCGCGATCTTGTCAGCTATCCATGTCAACATGGACTTTAGCTATTAATCAATCAATGCCAAACCACTGGGCACAATCTCATGAGCTATCGATGTCCATCAGACACTAGCTCGTATTCTATCAACGCCAAACCAATATGCGCAATCTCGTCAGCTATTGATGTCAACCAGGACACTAGCTATAAGTCTATCAATGCCAAACCAGCTAGTCAAGCTAATCATGCTACGGATTTATTTGAAGCTCAGTACAAATGAATAATGGTTTTACGGAGAAGTCTAGAAACGGAGATAGTTAATAATGTACAACTTAGTTCAGATTTACGGAATATCATGTTACATGATAGTTATTACTTTATTAATTTCTTTAGATTGTGGTGATGATCCTGGTTTTTATTTGTTGCTGGGGTCCGTATGCTTCTCTTAGCTTCCTTGGTATCCTTGGATACTCTGAGGTAGGGTTATATATATACCTAGAAGATATATCTTTATCCTAGGATACTAGGAGATAGGGTTATATATATATCTATGAGATATATCTTTATCCTAGGATACTAGGAGGTAGGGTTATATTTAGATCTATGAGATATATCTTTATACTAGGATACTGGGAGGTAGGGTTATATATAGATCTAGGAGATATATCTTTATCCTAGGATACTATGAGGTAGGGTTATATAAAGATCTAGGAGATATATCTTTATCCTAGGATACTAGGAGGTAGGGTTATATATAGATCTAGGAGATATATCTTTATCCTAGGATACTAGGAGGTATAGAGGAGATATATATTTATCCTAGGATACTAGGAGGTAGGATTATATATAAATCTAGGAGATATATCTTTATCCTAGGATACTGGGAGGTAGGGTTATATATAGATCTAGGAGATATATCTTTATCCTAGGATACTATGAGGTAGGGTTATATAAAGATCTAGGAGATATATCTTTATCCTAGGATACTAGGAGGTAGGGTTATATATAGATCTAGGAGATATATCTTTATCCTAGGATACTAGGAGGTAGGGTTATATATAGATCTAGGAGATATATCCAAATCCTGAACCAAAAAATGGGGTTGCTGGCAAACGACATTAAAAAGTTAAAATTATCACTTATTAAAAAAAGTGTCGGAGCGCTTGAAAACTCTTTCTGTAAAAGTTGCTGGTTTTCATAAAAGATATTTAAGGTTGTTCTACAAAAAGTGTAGCTCTAGTTTTTCCAAAATTTGCCTTTAAATCTAATGAAATTGATATGCTTTCCTAAAATAAAATTATATCGGTTAAACATCTGATATATTTGAAATTTTCAAAATATTTATATGTTCAAAGTTTTGTTTTCATTAAACTTTCTCAACTTAAGTTTGCATAAAAAAAATCTTCAAACTTTTGCTTAGAGAAGTAAAGATAAACATTATTTTTAATCTAATTAAATAAGAATTATGTCTAAAATCTAAATCCAGTATCTGAATGTGATGTATCATTGTATTGAGATCGTACCTATAAGATAGTCTCTATTATCAAAGGTCTAGAAGATTTGCTAATTTTTATCATTTTTATTTAACACTTATTGTCTCTTGCAGCTAAAGCATTCGTCTAATAACTAACTAGATTGACATTTTAAATGATTTTTTCAGGCTTTTCACTTTGGTTTAAACCATCCAGGTTAAAAAGATAAAGGTGAAAATTTGCTCATTTATCAATGTGCAGATTCAAATATGAAATTCGATGAGTAAAAAATGAAACTGGAGAAAGATCAAAAATGTTGGGTTTCTTGTTCGAAGTTAGTAATCCAATCAAGGAAAATATTTTCTCTTCTTTAATCCAATTTTGTTCAGGAAATTCCAGTTTTGTACACAGTGTTCCCACTTCACCTCTGCAAGTCCTCCATTCTTTGGAACCTTCTCGTCTATATCATCTTAAACCCTACGGTAGGGGAAAAATTTAACCCTAAATATAGGGGGGGTAGGGGGGTATTTCTATATACATCTATTTCACTTTAAAGGTTTCTTTTTGGGTCTGATCGCTACTTCGAAGAAAAAAACCTCGAGACTAATGTTCTAATATTGCAAAAAAATATTTTATCATTTAAAGGAAGTATTTGGGAAAAATGAACGGGGATATGGGCCTCCGTCGAAAAATATTCGATGGTAATCACTACAAATCTTACTCCGAGAATACTGTTAAAAAAGTAGCGTCCATAAAAATTCAGAAAGTTGCAATATTCGTTAAGTTGCATCATATCTAAAACAAATAGAAAATATTTTGAAATATCAACTTTATACGAATGCGTCAAAAAAATCGATTTTTATTGGTTGTAATATCTGAATAATTTGTTTTGAATTAATTGAATTTTTACGATCTGAGTCGAATATTGCAACTTTCTGGTTTTGTATGGACGCTACGTGTTCTTTGGCATGAGTCGTTTTTTAACAATTTTCTCCTTATAAACGCAACAGATAGAAGTAAGATATATAAAGTAGCAATCACCATCAAATATTTTTCGACGTAAGCTTTTTCCCCCTCTTTATTTTTTCGCGAACACTCCCTTTAATATCTGTATTCTTACAAATTAACAATCCACCATGGAAAATTTAGTACAATAGTCAACTACTCTTTCTCGTGTCGCTGGATTTGCATTAACACGTTAAAAAGATAAATCGTTCTGTAATTTTCCCTTTAAAATACTGAACCCTTATTATAATAACACGTTTTTTTTTCAGTTTAACTCCGAGATAAGAAAACTAATTTGGTTTCTACCCAAACCTGATGAAAGTCCTATTAATCTTGTCACAATTACTCAAATAAACAAGTAAACTTAACCCTGAGATCAGAACTTTTGAATTAAATCTTGGGATCAAGCAACTATACTCCATCTGCAGATATACGGATTAAAATAATTCCTCTTTAATATCCCGTATGGTCATACCCGGCAGGAATAACTTTAACATGAAAGATCAAGCATTGATCCGTAAATTTTAAAGTGCCCGCCTTGGATATCGAGGTGGTGGTTGCCTATACCTTTTAGTACAACTGTACAACCTACTAGCACTAGTTATGTACCCTATCACACACTATATAGCTAATGAAATGAGCTACGATATTTTACTGCTCCCATTTTCCGTAATTAAATAATCTTTATTTTTATGTAAATACTGTAGAATGTAATAAGATTTGTTTCTTCCCCCTGAGGATACGAAAGAAAACTCATATACCGGGTGTCCCACGAAATATGAGAGTTGGTGAATAGTTTGAAATGTTATTATGTTATTTGATACCAAAGAGACTAATAGAAATATCACATGAAAGTCATTTTATGATAAAATTGATTTCAAAGTAAAATATCTAAAATATATTCAAAATGATTTAAAAGGTACTTTTTTAGCTAAATAAAATGCAAAAAGTCTTTGATATCTAATATAGTTATTTAGAAGACATTCAAAGCTATTCCTCAACTTCATGTTTCGTGAAGCACCCTGTACAATATATTTGTTAACCCTAAACAATGAGTTTACTCCGTTGTAAGGTCGTCTTTGACCAAGACCTCTCCGGCAGCCAAACCAAACGGTTAACAATATTATTGAGCAAACACGGTATCAATTGAAAGATAAAAGACTAAATACTTTCTGTTTGTTAGATTTTTAAAGTAATTATGCATTTTAAGCTCAAAAGAAAGATAAAAATCTCAGGGGAGTAAAAATGCAATTTGGAATTATTTCACCCACCCCCTTCCCTCTGTCTATGTTGTTTTGGTATACATATATATTGTATTAGTATGCATTGAATGCAATCCAAAATTTAAGATTTATGAAATTATTTTGTGTATTTGTGTTCTGATCCTCACGGTGCCGTGACAAACTCCTGAAAGACAAACTCCTGAAAGACAAACTCCGGAAAGACAAACTCCGGAAAGACAAACTCCTGAAAGACAAACTCCTGACGAGACAAACTCCTGACGAGACAAACTCCTGAAAGACAAACTCCTGAAATTATGAAATTTTTCTCTGAATGAAATTTGATCAAATTCATAAACTTTAGGAGGAAAAATCCGCAAATATCCTAGAAAAAATTCTCAAACTTTAGTACTTTGAATATGTTTCAAGCAGCAAAGTATTACAATGATCAGAAACACCATGAAATTTATTATAATTTATTTTTTATTATTTAGGGTTAGGTTAGGTTAAGACACTTTCTGGGCCGAGCGCTGCGGCTAGGACAGGCTAGGGGGCCGAGCGCTGCGGCCATGGGTTAGGTTAGTTAAGACACTTTCTGGGCCGAGCGCTGCGGCTAGGACAGGCTAGAGGGCCGAGCGCTGCGGCCATGGGTTAGGTTAAGTGTTGACACTTTCTGGGCCGAGCGCTGCGGCTAGATTAAATATAAATTGTGAAACATTTTTTCAAATTTGATATTTTGGAGTTTGTATTTCAGAATTTTTTATTTTCAGGAGTTTGTCTCGTCAGGAGTTTGTCTCGTCAGGAGTTTGTCTCGTCAGGAGTTTGTCTCGTCAGGAGTTTGTCTTTCAGGAGTTTGTCTTTTCCGGAGTTTGTCTTTCCGGAGTTTGTCTTTCAGGAGTTTGTCTTTCCGGAGTTTGTCACGGCGCCATCCTCACTGTACAAGGTCTGAGCAACTTCACGAACGGAAGTTATTTAATAATTACCTGAAAATTATGTCGACGAGCGGAAATTTCCTGTGACGAACTGAAAGAGCCGTCAAGATTTTAATTTAAAATCGGATGAGCATTGCCCGCAAAGGAATTTGAGTTTTTGCCACAAACTCATATTTTCTAATCCCTATATCTTTCAACTTGATGGGGTAAACTTTAAAACTTAAATTATCAAATCTAACAGATTATATAGTTTGAAATATCAAAGGTCTACGCCACTGATTTGCATAGATAAAGGGTTTCGAAAATTTGAGTTTGTGGCAAAAACGCCGTTCCTTAACTAACCCTACGAACAGATGGAAAAAAAGAATTAAAAAATGTACTCAGCTCGAGTCAAAGTGCTGAATTGCGTGGACAACAGAAATAAATTTAATGAATCAATGTTTATTATTGAATACTTGTCTACTAACCACTCATTGTACACTGTACAGGGCTAACCACAAAGAATGAGGTTGAAAAGACGATATGAAAATCTTAAAATATCACAAAACTTTGGGTTAATTAAGTCTTATGCCTTAGTATAGTCTTTTTTTGGCTTATTTAATGTTTGGATAAAGAAAAGACAAGTTTACAGTTTCAAGGAATCATGAATTTATAGGAAAAAAAAACAAATAAATTCCGCACAGTCGTCACAATAAAGTCTCATCCTTTGGGTAACCCTGCAGTAATATTGTAACCACATATCCATATAAAAAATTATAAGTATTTACAACAGTTCATGATTAAAACTTATCTAATGAAACAATTTATCTCGCCTCAAACTCAAATTTTGGAATTCCTTATGTGAGCAACCTGTTGGTGTAATCCTTCTATATTTTAAACGTTGTCTACTTGATGTACCATTTTTAAAAAAATTGTTAAAAAGTCAATGCGATCAGGTTGTGAAGATTAAAGTAATATTTTAGTTTGAGGCAAGTAATCACTTTCCCATTATTCCATCACATTCCATTTCCAATTATATCAATAGTTACAAAAATCTTGTTTAACATGCATGTGTCCAGAGTCCGAATTTAATGAATTTGAGCCGCGTCTCAAATCCGTCAAAACCAGTTTCAATTGAGCGCCGGCTTGAATCTTGAAACATTAAAAAAGTGGAACCAACCATATTTGAGCCGCGGATAAATTCTTTAAGTTCGGCCTCAGTATAGCTTGAACAAAATGATTTATGTAATAGATGTTGATTTTATATGTTTAGTGAAACTCGTAAAAACTAAAACCGTTTAATAAGAAGAATTGACTGTTAGAATCAAATTATGATTATAAATTCAAAATTGAACTTGAAACAGACCAATTGTGCAGGCGTACGCATAGATCCATCTTAAAGTTAATTTACAAGTTACTGTTAAAACTATTTGCTTTATAACAACATCAAATTACCAAAGGCAAAAGTCGTCTTTATTTTCCACAGGTACATGTGTCTCACTGTATTTAGGGATATTAACGTTTTCATTTTTTTAAACGATCGTTTTGTAATGAAAATGATGACGAAAAATAGAAAACGAAACGATTGTTTTTAAAAACGATCGTTTTTTAAAAAGTTCGTTTTTTAAAAATGGTCGTTTTTAAAACGATCGTCTTCAAAAATTATCGTTATTTGTATTCTAGAATTGAAAAACGAGTGGGTCATTTTTAAAAACGACCGTTTTTTCCGAAAGCAAAACGATAGTTTTTGAAAACGATTGATCGAAACGAAACAAAAAACGATCGTTTAACCATTGTTTTTCAAAACGATTAATAACCCTAAAGTCTGTATTGTACTTGTACAAGGTATTAAACTAAATATTATAGTTAAGATACGTCATTGATTATTTTATTAATAGACACATTTTGTTCCTTAGATAACTTTCAAAGATCAAAGACGACATTATAGTATTTTCTTAAAAATTAATCGATGGTAATTGCTACGAATCATACTTCTATCTGTTGCGTCTATAATGAAAAATTGTAAAAAACTAATCATATCAAAGAACGCAGCGTCCAATTCCTTACAAATTTAAAAAGTTTCAATATTCGACTCGGATCGTAAAAAATCAATTTAATTCCAAACAAATCATTTAAATGTTGCATGCTATAATCATCGATTTTTTTAGACGCATTCGTATATGGTTGATATTTCATAATATTTTCCTATGGTACTTGTTGGATACCTTATAATTGTTACGTCCCAAGAAACATGAAAGTAACCAGACGATTTGAAGGTCGTCTTTCATCTTTGGAATAATTTGCGGTATTTTATTCGTAAGACTAATTTTAAAATACAGGGTGTCCCAAAAAACATGGGAATTCAGTGACGAATTCGATATCGTCTTTTCAAATAATTCTTTGATTTAGTATAGTGATACCTACTGCAGAAAGCTGAAATCTGTAAGAGTTTCGTCTGCTATGTTTACATTTTGTTTGTTTATGTTTTGACTGCATACAGTTATATTTAGTAAAACAAGAAAATTGCAGTATACACACTGAGTAAACTTGTCCGTCTTCATTGTTCATCTTGTGGAGACATTATAGACACATCTCTACAGTCTTTTAGCCTTTTCATAAAATAAACTCTAGCAGACATAATAATATTATGGCTTTTGAAATTAGGTATTACAATGCTTATTCATAGCAAAGACGATATCCAATTCGTCACTGAATTCCCATGTTTTTTGGGACACCCTGTAATTCAAAAGTTAATACTAAAATACTAAAATTTCCAAAATGTGGTCAGCCTTTTTTGAGCCAACAATATTATTAGAGATATGACGATTTTTGTTCAAACTTTTCCAGAATCATCCTTGTAAATAAATATTGTCGAATGCTGAAAATAATTTTAAGTCTAAGACGACCTTCAAGTCGTTCTTCTAATTCACTGTAAAGTTTCATGGGACTTAAACTGTTATGCTTGAAATCCTGTAACAGTATGTTTAATCCTATAATCTCATTAAACTCTGTGTTAATGTAATTGTCATGTAAAGCTTCATCAAATCAAATCAAATCAAATCAAATTAGGCTGTTAAGAAGTCCAACTTTCCATCACCCTTCATCCCCCCCTCCTCTCTGCGCAAAATTATACTCCCCCCTCTCCGGGCAAAATTATGAAAATTAAGACTCAGAACATTTTTATTTTTGCTTCTCAATCTATACGGCAGTTTTAAGATTTGTATTTTTATGTTTTACCTAAATAAATGTTGAATTTGTTATATTTTGCAATTTACTCTGTTATAGTCGTATTTTATTGGAATACCGTGTAGAATTCGTAGAATAGAGTGCGCATATTGGATCATTCTTTTTTTGCTTGGAAATACAGGGTTACCCACAAGAGACGACTGTAAGGAATCTTACTGTCTGTTTCCTTTCGGATTCATCTTTCTCTGCAACTATAAACTTATTTCTTTCTTTGCACCATCAATAGGCCGGGGTGTTCCACGAAACATGACAGTTGGTGAAAAGTATAAAAATGTCTTCTTCCATATTTTGTTTATTTGACACCAAAGAGAATAATAAAAGAATCACATGGCAGACATAATGTAGAAAAATTGATTTCAAATTAAAATATATTTCAGTAAGATATTTTTACCGAATTAAACTGCAAAAAGTCTTAAATATCTAATACAGTATATGAAAGAAGACATTCAAAGCTATTCACAAACTGTCATGTTTCGTGGGACACCCTGTATATTCTAATTTAAGTGTATAGGTCGTCTTCACATTTTATTCTTCGTGTGTATTTCTGTATAAAAAAAATTCTTCATACACAATTCACAGTACAAAGATTCTGAACACTCAGGAACAGTCGTTAAAAATGAAGATTTAAGAAATTTAATATTTTCCAATAAATATTTTGTCTATTAGGGCTTCTTAAACTCATTATTTAATCTTTAAATAATATGGAGAAAAAAGCTCTCTAAGTGCTTGAAAATAACGACGGATTCATAGATTGAGAATATTATTAGGTTAATATAAGGATGAGTTCATTACCAAAACATCTAATTAAAAAAACGTTTGCGTGTCTGCGTCTCAATCGCACTTCATAACAAAATGAAAAAAGCGTGCTCGGAAGTAAATAAAAAACTTTTTGACGAGACAGGCCCAACAGGGTTACCATCAAAAGAATAAAATTGTTTTTTTTTTGTTTCAATCCGTTTTATATAAAATTTGATTTTCACATTTTTTACATTTTTATTATCATTAAAGCCTATTTGCAACGGCCATTTTTTATTTTTACTAAAAATACATTTTGTTTAGAAGAATATTTTTTTTGGTTCTTAAAAATTTTTCACTTAACTAGTGCACTGATCTTTTGATTATCGGGTTATATTGTTTTTAGAGTCAAACAAAATCAAAATAGTAAACCATATTTTAGAAACCCTAGGAGTCATACAATCATATTTGTCTGAATATTTGAAGAAAAAATACACCCCTGCTACCAAGTGCTCAGGATCCTGACCCAGTTCCGTAAAAAATGTGGGGATCCAATATAAACCAAGACCTGGAACATAACTGTTCTGCTCTCAAAATACAAATCTCAACTTTTAACAGAACTAAAGAGAAATTAAAAAAAAAACTTAATCTTAGGATCCGAGTCCGCATCAATAGGAAATATCGATCCTAAGCTCTGCTGAAGAGAATGATTCGATGACGAAAGTACATAAAAATCTAATACTCTTGATAACAAAAAAGAAATAGAAGATAAGGATAAATCCAAATTTTATTTTGAAGTGAGCAGACAATTAATTTGCTCAAAAAATAATTAAGATAGAAGTGTTTACTACTTCTGAACAGTTTTATGCAGGAAATATGTATCATCAGACCAGAGTATTGAACTAAATCAATACCAGGAGCATCATTCAAATATTCCGTAGCATTCAACCGTTCAGCAGCATTGATCTAGGTTCAGAAACTACTAGAAGCGGGATCTTATATCTGTCCTTCCTTCTGGGAGATTCTGAACCTTAGAGCCTAGACCTCGGGAACAGGTCTCTAGGGCAAGAGACCAGTTTCTTTCATCAGCTTCTTTAAACATTTTAATTCAACTTCCATATCGGACAGTTTTCTTTTCAGCACGGTGTTACGGTTGGCCAGGTAGAGGAGCTCACTGTCCACCAGATCCTGCTCAGCCTTCTTCTTCTCCCTGTACTTATACGCCGCGCTCCGGTTCTGAGCCTTCTTACGCTCACCCTTCTCTTTGGGGTAGGGGGCGCTAGGAGGTGTGCTTCGAACCTTACGTTGATATTTACGACGTGTTGAAGTAATGGGAGAAGAGACAGAGTTTGGACTCCAGTCAACATCTGACTCATAGTTGCTAGTGTAGGAGGTGGATGGGGCTGGAGAGGCGGCGGAGGGGGCTGGGGAGGCGGCGGAGGGAGATGGGGGCAGAGCAAATGAGAAGCTAGAATTAGAATTGGAGGACATTAAGTAGCTTGTATCTTGATGTTGAGGGGAGGGCGGCGCGATGATGATGATAACATTCTCACCATTCTTCCCGGTTACACTAGTGGTGTAGGCATTTTTTAGGTCATTCTTGTTGAGTAGTGATCCAGTATCCATCATAACATTTCCAGAGGTTAGAGCCTCAAAAATCTTATCCGTCTCGGCGGCCAGGTTTTGCTGGGACCATGATTCATCAACGGATTCGGCAAAAGAACCCTCAGAACCTTTCAGATAATTTTCAACCTCATCTATCAGTAACTGATTCTTCTCTAGGTCGGATACAATGGAATCCGGGGATCCAATACCAACCTCATCAATGATGTCGGTGAGCATACTACTCAACTCCTCCTCCTCCTTCACCTCCACCTCTTCAATACCTGCCAGGTCGGTGAATATCTCCATCTCACTGGGAGACTGGAAAATGTTGAAATCAACTGATGAAGAGAAATCAGTTTCAGTATCTAGGCCAGTGCCTAGACCCAGGCAGGCCAGGCTGGACATATCTATTGTCTCCATGGTGTACATCTTTGTTGTAGTTTATGTACTGGTTCTTGCTATTGTACAGGTGGTTGTTGTACAGGTTGATGTTACGATTGTAGTAATGGTTGTTGTTTCGCTTTGCCGATGCGGCTTCAAGGGGTAGAATGAACGACCTGGAAAACAAATTTAAATTAATTAAAATATTTTGAAATATATTGTATTTAACTTAAAAAATGCAGGGATCAAAATAATTCCATTTAATACGATCCTAAATGTTGATTGATTGATATTAAGGGCAGAAATTAACCATGTTGTTGTAATCAATTGTAAGTATGATGTAAAGTTGTTGAAAAACTTCCATAATGCAGAATGTTCAGCAAGGGAGTGTTTATGATTCTATATATCATAAGTTATCTCTTATATATTGATTACTGGTATTTATCTTTAACAAGTACACCCCCTATGCAGTACACATTTCTGAAGTGTTGTACTGCATGTACATGAAAAAACTTATCTTACAATATCTTCAAGTAAAATTATGGGTTCGTCCTAGTGTACGATTTCTGGACCCCCCCCTCCCCCCCGTCCTATCAACTTTGTTCATTTATTTTTTATTATTTTAAGGGTAGGTTAGGACAAAATTGTGGGCCGAGCGCTGCGGCTAGGATAGGGGGCCGTGCGCTGCACCTAGAATATGCTAAGGGACCGAGCGCTGCACCTAGGACAGGCTAGGGGGCGGAGCATCCACATGATCGATTATACAAATGTACAACATTAATAGGAGGAGGGGGGGGGGTCCAAAAATCGTTCACTAGGACTATATTAAATATAAAATTTATTTCGTTGTTTTAACAATATTTTCAAGAAGACCTTACAATTTATAGATTATTATATTTACAATATAAAATTACTTACTCCATGTTGCTTTAATGAAAAAGCACACTGGGTGTGCGGGAGAAATCCCTAAACAGGCATTTTGAGCGGTATTCTCACGGGTATAATTCTGCTGGCGCGTTGTAGTACATTTGTTGAATGACTGATCTATTCTAAACAAATATGGCTGATTGGCTGACATTGTGGCGGAGTAATATTTTTACAATTTAAAACAAACAAACAGAAATAATATATTTGTTAAATCGGCCAATTTTATAATTAAAAGTGTTATTTTAATGTATTTTTTAAATATAAGGTCTAAATGATGAAAATAAATAAATTAAATATTTAGATATCAAGGACTATTTTCATGTCTTGTTTTTGGTAATACGGCAAACCCATTTGCCACGATACAGTTACAAAGCTAAATATAGTTCTCTTTTTTCTTTAAAAAAATTAAGGCAAACAAACTTGCAGTTCGTTGATTCAATTCTAATATGTAATTCTTATATGACTAGTTTCTCCCTGTAATGACGTCAAACCAACAAATTTCGTCATACAAAATGAAAATCTTGTTTTGTTTTACCTGCACACACAAGTAATATGAGTCATCATTATCTTTTTTACCTCAAACATTTAACCCTGAAAAGCCGGGAGGGGGGGGGGGACCCGGAAATAATTTTGAATTATCGCGCCGAAACTTATATCCCCCCCCCCCTGGACACCACAATGACAATTAAGCTGGGGTGGGATATGGGAGGGTACAAGTTACAGATAATAAGAATTTTTATATAAAAAAAGGCCACAAATAAACATAAACATATATATATCATTAAAATCATGTGAAAGTGATCAAACTTATAATTCATATTCATTCATATTTTTATTCAACTACTTAAAGCACGAGATAATACAAATAAAAAAATCACAATTTACTATGTAGTTTGGACCCGCCTAACCAGAGTAGGTTGTTTTAATTTGTTGGACCACTATAAACGAATGAGAATTGCAGATAAAATCAATGCACATTGTATATTTTAAACATAAGAATGATGATAAATCAGGAAAATGGTAAGGAGGAGGTGAAGGAGTATAAGGGAAAGGGAGGATACTCAGCGTGATAAATCAGGAAAATGGTAAGAAGGAGGAGGTGAGGGAGTATAAGGGAAAGGGAGGATACTCAACGTAAGGGTTGGAACAGAAGGTAACATAAGTTATTAAAGTCATGTTTATGAAATACAGGGTGATGAAGATAGTAAAGACTAAGTTTATCCACATGATACACAGTTTTTTTTAAAGATATAATTTGCACAACTATCTAAATAGATCTTGGCGACTTTTCTTTTAAACGATTTTACAGATCTATTTCTTTCAGCTCTAATTCAATCGAATTCCATATTTTTGGAAATAAAGCAGAGGGAAAACTTTCTAGAGTTTTAAAGAGAACCCGTTCAAGTTTATATGATTTTGTTCTATTTGGTTCAGCTAAAGAATTAAACATATCTTGCAATTTACTCTGTTATAGTC